TTCCGATCACTTTTTCAAAAGTGAGGTTTTCAAAAGTGAAAGGAGTCTGGACGTGTTTTTTTCAGAAAAAACCCTTTTTCGGAAAAAAAAAACCTTCTCTTCCTAAAAAAAGGAGGTTATGTAGTTTTTTGAAAAAGGGATTTTTTTCCAGAAAAAAACCACATCCAGACTACTTTCACTTTCAAAAGACCCGCTTTCGAAAAAGCAATTGGAAGAAGATATGCAAATTCCCGCAATATCTGCATATCCTCTTTTGAAATTAGAACGTAGTCTAGATGTGCCTAACTGTATAGAACTGTGAATGAGTATGCAATGAGACTATAGAAGAATGAGCAAGGTTGAAAAAGAAGGGCCTTATTCCTCTGCCCAGTTGAGTGAAGGCTCTGGACAATCTAGCTCCATGTCAGCATAATGAGTGCAAGTATCCACAGGACTGAACAGTAAAGAGTCTTGAACATTAAAGATGCAGTTTTACTGAGGTTGGTCGCAGGGCTTTTTCTGCACAGTTCCTACAGAGTTGTATTTCTTTTGGAACAGTGATAGAAATGTAGCCGTGTTAGTCTGGTGTAGCTGAAACAAAATACAGGACTATGTAGCACTTTAAATACTAACAAGATGGTTTATTAGATGATGAGCTTTCGTGGGCCAGACCCACTTCCTCAGATCAACTAGTGGAAGAAAATAGTCACAGCCATATATACCAAAGGATACAATTAAAAAAAAATGAACACATATGAAAAGGACAAATCACATTTCAGAACAGAAGGGGGATGCGGGGGGGGGGGTATTTCTTTTGCTAATTGTCAGATACCACAGATCTAAAACACATTGCCAAGCAAGAACTTTGTCCTCTGTGCCGCCAGACTGCAGAGCTCCAGGAAGAAACTGCAGCCACACATTGTACCAGTAGAAGCTACGCCTGCTGATTCAACAGGAGCAAGTGATTAGGAGCAAACTGCTGATTGGTGACTAAGATATAAACTGTCCCACCCTTTGTCTGAGCAACTAGTTCCTCAAAAGTAGAAGACCTTGCTTCTTTGTTGGACTCCTACTCCCTCTTCCTGTTACCATGCCTTGCCCCCGCTCGTGCTACCATGCCCTGATCCCTGTTGCATGGCCCTTAACAGGATTTCTGACTCCAACTCTGGCTTAATTTTTGGTGGGCCTCACATAATGACCCTGTGTGTGGCTTCCGACTCTGACTTTAAACTTTGCCATGATTCACAACCGTGAACCTGACCAGCTCCTGGCTCTCACCATTAGGTCAACCACACTCACCATGACCCTGACATTCATAACTAACAGCACTCCAGCAGCTCCACAAAACATTTTAAAACATTTTTATATCAGTAAAATAGAACTTTAGAGCAATTCAAAAGGGTCATAAAAATGAAACAGCCTATCATCATTCCTTTATAAAACACTCAGGGTAAACATCTTTAAAACGCCAAGATACAAACTGACTACCACAACATTATCTTCATAAAATTGCAGCAAAATGAATCATATAAAATCTGCATCAACTATTTGTAACTCACCACGAGGAACAGCAAACCACAGGCAACAGCAGTTGTGAGCGGTTGTACCTGCGGACACCCAAGTAAATTAAGTGTCTAGCGGCCTGCCAGGGGCTAACCCTGGTGAACTGCATCCAGCCCACAGGCCACTTATTGCCCACTCCACTATACACAGAATGTAAGTACAATATTTATATTTCATTTGATTTTATAATTTCATAGGAAAAATGAGAATGTAACCAATTTTTTCAGTAATAGGTGCTGTGATACTTTTGTATTTTAGGTCTGATTTTGTTAGCAAGTGAAGTGAAACTTGGGGTACGTAAGACAAATTAGACTCCAGAAAAGGGTACAGTAGTCTGGAAATATTAAGAGCCATGATCTAGTTTAAAAAATTGCTTTGGGGTCAGTAAGAGTGAAAGGTATGCTTTGCATTTTCAAAAAGTGACTTTCGTGTATGATTTGGGAATGGTATAGATGGACACCAAAATTCTAAATGTAGCCCTTTCTGGACAGAGGATCATGTTCTGGCAAATGAAGCTGTTCGTAGCAGAAAAGCAAAACCCAGAGGATATTTTATTACGAGCAGTTATAGGCAGGATTCATCTCTGCTATGAACTAATTTACAAAACTTTGATATGAACTAGGAATCCAATGCAACTCCTTTTGTAGTCAAATAAAACTTTCCCATGGATTTTAATAAGTGTTGGATAAGAACTAGGTGAAGATTAGAAGGGTTACTCTATTTTGTATGTAGGTTTATAAATTGAAAATTAAAAAATTAACCAACAAACCTTGCATCATTTATTTGTCATCTGGCACCTCTTCTTCCCACCACATCCTGGGCAAGGAATATTTCTTGTATTTAACACTGTCTCTGCTGCTTCCCAAGTTGAGGAATTCTTATACTGTTATTCTATATTTTAGTAGAGCGGTCTGTCTGGAAAATAAAAACATTTGAACATTTGTAAGCTTTACATTGCATTAAAGTTGCCTTATTTTTGGACCCTGGCAATTAAATTTCCAAAAAGGTTTCACCTTCAAAACACACAGGCACACATGCAACAAAGGTAGCTAGTAGATTGGCTTGTTTATTTTTTACAGACACTTGGCATGTTTTGTGTTGAAAATGCAGATGCACCTATTGAAATTAGCTTTGAAAGCCAGAAGCATACTGATAACTGTCTACCCAGAGAGGGGCAACTTGCAGCAAAAGCACTGAGGAATTGCTGCTCAGTAATCCAGACTCTCTCCAGAGGAGCACATGGGGCAAATGCAATAGGTGAAGAATGCTCTTCCCTCCCGCCATTCATGCAGACAGTTCTACTGTTTGGTTGTGATACATGAGCATGTCCTTCACCACTGTGGTTACATCTAGATCAGTGATGGAGAGTCTAGGCTACTGAGTGTGCCACATGAGACTAGGGTTACCAAATGATTTAAATAAAAATACTGGACACACTTGATCTCAGATTGGAAGGGGGAAGGACCAGCTGGGAGGGAGTTGGGGGGAACGGGGCTGGCCAGAGGAGATTGAGGGGGGGAGGAGAGAACCGGCCAGCGGGAAGCAGGGCTGGTCGGGAGGGGGAGTGGGGCTGGCCGGAGGAGATGCGGGGGGGAAGGACGACCGGCTGGCGGGAAGCAGGGCTGGCTGGGAGCAGGAGGAGGAGGAACCGGGGAGCTGGCCTGGGCACATGCAGATCCCAGGGTGCTGCCCGTCCCATGCACGGTCCCAGTGGGGCTCATGGGTAAGTCTGGCCCTGGGGATTCTATCCCACCCCAGCCCCGTCCCTGCCTCTCTACTGCGTAGTTGCATAATGCCTGGCTGGTAGACACGATACTCACGCAGCATGAGCGTGTCTACCAGCCAAGCAGTACGCAACTATGTACTGATACTCATGATAATAATAAATAATAATAATAACTTAATTAGAAAATACCAAACATTTATATGTCCGGTATTTTCTCAATTTGTTTCCTAGGCAGAAAGCTCAAATACTGGACTGTCCGGTTCAAAAATGAACACCTGGCAACCCTATGTGTGACCCTCCATCTCAGTGGACCACAAGATTGTCATAAGGAAGACAGTCTCCCAAGATAGCAAAACTACCCTAACTGTGCTTGCATACCTAGAATTTGTGACATGTGCTGACTGAACTGTAGCAGCTCTTTGATTGAATGAAGAGTGACCACATGGCTCTGACGGTCACTATTGTGTGAAATCAGCATCCACCTCACTTCATGTGCATGACACTCTAGTAATGCTGGTAGAAAAAAAATGGACATAAACCTGTGGAATAAACCACAACACTGCATGTGGGTAGCGATAAACAAAATTTTTATGGGCCACACATAGAACCCTGATGGGCCGGCCACATGTGGCCCTCGGGCTGCAGGTTGCCCACCATTGATGTAGATGGCTGAGGCACTAGAGAGGAACAGTGAGTCAACCATCCCACAGGGACAGCACCTTAAATAGAGTCAAAAAGCAGGAAGGCTTTTGTGACCCATTCCCATTTGTGCTTCCCGATAAGGCTGAGCACACATCCTTCATAACAAGTCAAAAGAGCATTTTTGCCATTTTCCTGCAACCAACCGTTTGAATTTGGAAGCATCTCTGCTTCTAGAGCACAGAGCCTGCTAATTTACTGCTTTTCTGCCTCTTCCACCTCAGAACAATGAAACTGAAGACACCACAGGTGTACCTCTCTACCTTTGTGAAATGAAGAGGATGTGTAACCTAACTCTGAGCAGCAACCAAATCTATGCAGCAATGAGGAGGTGTGATTGCAGACATGACTAGCTAGCCTTAAGTAACTGACTGGGTACCAATATAGCACAGAGCCATTGCAGCAGCAGAGGGCAGCTTCCTGTAAGTATGTACTCAAACGGCAACCCTTTATGGGCTGCTGTGGCTTCAGTGCTGTTTTCAGATCGAGTTTGGTCAGCCCAAACTCTCAGGTGTGCCTATATGTGCTGCTGTCATTAACACACACAGCTTCCCCAATTGAAGTGTAGCCACACCTTAGACACTGGAAATATTTTTCAAGTCTGGAAAGGAGCACTGGGTTTCCTTACCAGTAATGTCACTTTCCAGCTGGCAAACTTTCAATTTTATTCATGTGTCTTTTCCATAGAGCTGAAGTCAACGTATCTGTTTTTCAAACATTTCTCACTGGTGTTTAGCACCATGTTGTAACCACTATCTTTACTTGTACAATAGTTTCATTGAGTGAGTGAGCAGATCTGAGAATAGCACTGCTATTCTGTAATGTTTAATATTAATTAAATTAAAATTAACTTTGACTGCATAGCAGGAGAAGACCATACAAAAATTATGGGGACCCTATTTAAAAAAAAATTAACTTTCAATCTTGATCTACAAATAATGTTGGCTAAATTCATGTCAAGTGTAAACTTATCACCAAACACAACATTACACCAACCTGAGTTTTCTTTTTAAAGGTTATTCTTAAAGATTTGGGCCCTAGCTTGCTCCAACTAGTCAGAGGCAGAAACACCCACTGACTTCTGCAGAAGCAGGATAAGCCTCTTCAAATACAAGGAATAATATCAAATAATGCATGCTGCAATGCCACAACACTGACAGGTAAGTTAGCAATAGACTTGAAAAAAAAAAAAAAAAAAAAAGCCCTATCACACTTTACTTTATTCCCAAAAGGAAATATGAGAAATAAGATTTAAATCATATTAGTTGTACCTCGTTGCTATCGTTGTTATCATAAGAGATGCCTCTTGAAAGCTTCTTACATATATGTTTTCTCATTACCAACGCATATCTCCATTTCACAATATATTTGGAATGCCAAATATTTAGAATATATGAGCCACTACTGCACAATACACAGGGCACTACAATAAATGTCTGCTGAATCTTGCCCTCATATGCAAGTAATACTCACATTGATTTTAGTGGGAACTACAAGCATATAAAAATGAATATGATCTGCTTTTTGTAACAGTCTAGATCCATGGAGACATTTCAATAATAAAATTCAGTTTTCCAAAGCTTATACACTTATGGCCAAAAATGCTAAATCCTGGACAAAAGATAGTACAGATTAAAGGTCAGAACTTTAATGTACAAGAAACCAGCTAGATTGATTTAAAATAATTATTTTAATCATTAAGTCAACAAAACAGAAAAATAATAATTTAAATTTGCTTTTGCATTTGTGCATTTTATTTTCCTTAAAAAAAAAAAAAAAAAAAAAGTAATTTGCATTGCTTGGTAACTATTAAAACAGGTTGATTTTCCAACTAGACGTAGACTTTACATTGCATTTGGCACTTTTATTTTTTTTTTTTACACTAGCCACATTTATTTGGGCAATTACATAGATTAATACATTTATTCTGATTCTTTATTTTTACATTTAAAGAAAGTTAGAATATGGTAAATAGTGCATTTTTTATTTTCTAGAACTGTCATATCTGTCTGAATGGAAATTATAATTAAATGTAAAGTGTGTGAAAGTATTTTTAAATGATTTTATTATTTAAATAAAACTACAGTAAGTGTGCTGGATACATAAGAAAAATATTTAAATATGTTTTGTATATAAAATAAATTTTAAAAAGGAAGAATAATCCATAATTAGTTAACTGAACTGTTTCTGGTCACAATGTCCTTCAAGATTACAGAATTAGCAGAGCTCATCCTTACACTTTGGTTTATTCATAGATTAGAAGAGGAAAACAAGCTTTCCTGCTTTTTTTACCTCCCAAGTGATTTCTTAACCATAAATGGACAGTGAAATGAACAGAATAGTCTTTCTGTACCTGTAAAATCAGTTAAACGATGAGTAAGCACTACAACAAACCTGGGCTCTAAGTGCTCAACCAGTGACTTCCCTCAATTCAGTGGTCTGATGTTCTTTAAAACTTTGATATCAAACTTACTGCTCCATCTTTTTAATTTAAATTATTTTGATGTGTTATAAGAAGTTGAGACTTTTAACATAACATAAAATTTAAATACATTTTAATTTCTAAAAATACTTATTTTAACTTAAAATCTCTGATTTCTTTAAATCATTTTTATCCACCCTGTTAAGTGACTAGATGGAGTAACTACTTCTGACATGAGAGAATTGTTTTATGACAGGCCATCACAAAGATCCCCAATTAGGGACTCTCATATTTCTTTCTTTATGGCTCTGCAGCAGGGTCTCACAACAAATTTTTGGTGGACTCAGAGTGCAACAACCTTCAGTTCTTGGTGGCGGCTGCTTTGACTTTTCCAAATGTCACCAAATCGGCTTGAAGCTCCCAGACAGAGCTCCAACATCTCTCATCTCCATGTAGGAGGTAGTTGTGGTTGGAAAAAAAAAAGATCAGCTGATGGCTTGCTTCTGAGAAACAGTGGTCTAGACCTCAACCCCTCCTGGCAAAATATCTTTAAGAAAAGCCAGCACATTTCCTCTTTGAAATCCATCAGCAGTTCAAGAAAGTCTGCCATGTGTAACAGCTGCTAGCCAGCAATTCTCCCTCTGCTTTGGTACACCCATGTCCCCAGATCTACAGAGATCTGAGTGACCAGGGTAACAGGTAGGTATTGCTTCCATATACATGCAATTTTCACCTTCAATAGCCAGTTTGTTACATGGATTGGAGCATGCAATCCCAGTATCCTGTTTATAAAAGATTTTCATCTAAATCTCCATCTACAGTGGTAAACTGCTTTATATCAGATTTCCCCCTGAATTTCTACTGAGATTGAATCAGTTTTGAATTATCTGATCTCATTAGAACATTCCTTTAAAAATGAAAACTAAAGGGCAAAGAATTGTTATATTAAAAACAGCAGACTACTTAAACACCACAAAAATCAAGATAATTCATATCTCAGTATGTAACACTATACTCAATATAATCTCCTGACTTGCGTATTAAAGTAGTATAGTTTAGTACAACAAA